AGTGTTCAACAAAGTGTTACTGTCCTTCAAGAACACCAAACCATCACACACACACACACACACACACACTCACGCACACACACACACACACACACACACGCGCACACACACACGCACACACATACTCACTCACACACACACTCGGCTATCTAAATGGGGACTCTCCATAGGCGTAATGGTTTTTATACTGTACAAACTGTATATTCTATTGCCCTACACCAACCCTACCCCTAAACCTACCCCTTACAGGAAACTTTCTGCATTTTTACAATTAAAAAAAAACAACTTTTACTTTATTTTTATACCAGTTTTACAAATGAGGACGTCCCCAAAGGCAGGTTTTTGGAGATTTTGTCAGGTTTAGCTCACTTTTGGGCACAAATTTCTCCCCAAAATATGGTTAAGTAGGTACACACACACTCTGACACACACACTCTCTCACACACACACACACAGACAGATAGTCCTGACGCTGGGCACTTCCAGGAAGCTACAGCAAATCTAGTTTGTGCTATAGAGGACACAACAAAATTCAATTTCTCAGAAGCATAACCACTTCTGTCAGAGAAACATTACTCAGATCACACTACGAACAGCAACCCCCCCGAGCGTCCATCACAGAATGAATCAGAGACTGTCCTCAAACAGAGAGGATGGAGGGAATCCAGGAAACGTCTTGTGTTTTGTGGAGACGTTGCATATCAGAGCGAACCACAGAGAAGAGACAACGCTAGCTCTACAGACACACAACCAGACTAACACGACTGACAGAAATCTCTCTCTCTCTCTCTCTGATCCCAGTGTGGTAAAGGCATGTGTGTTTTTTGTAATATCGAGGAATCAATAGATAAATCTTTTTAAGAAAGTTATTTCAGATCTTGGAGGATTGGATCAGGAATTTAGGAGAAGTGTTTACCACAGTCAATTTTATATTTGGTGCAAAGATGATGATTTCTTGGATGAACTTTACAGAAGGTGAAGCAAAGTGGTCGACAAGAAAAAGGAAAATAAAAGGTGAATGTTCAGCGGATCCTGAATTGACATTTAAAGCTCTAATAACTGCAAGAATTAGAGCAGAGTTTGCTTTTTACACAATGACAAATAATTTAATGGTTTTTGATGAAATTTGGGGTACTGGAAATATCTTGTCTGCAGTTGATGAAGAACATTTAATAATTCTTTTGTAAAGGTTTTTTTTTTAAGTTTGTTTTTGTTTGTTTATTCCGTAGTTTGAAGGAAGATGTGTAAATGTAGTTACATTTTAAAAAATTAGAATTGTTGTTTGTATTTTTATTTTTTCTCAGAAAAGTGCATTGTACATTTACCATATTCACACCCAATAAACATGTCCCAAAAAAAAAAAAGTATTAAAGGAGTGTAAAAATTCTAAAATTCTCTCTCGTTCTGTTGCTCTCTCTCTCTTATGGAAGCCCATTTTTCGCCTCTAAATTAAAAAAAAAAAAAAGCGAATTGCGACTTTTTATCTCAGTTCTGACTTTTATTGCAGTTGTGAGTTTGCATCTTGCAGCTCTGACTGTTTTTTCTCAGAACTGCATGATATAAACTTGCACTTGTGAAAAAAGAAGTCAGAATTGTGCGATATAGAGTCGCAACTGCATGTTATAGAGTCAGAATTGCGAGATATAAAGACTTTTTTCTCAGAATTGAGAGTTTATATCATGCAATCTGAGAAAAATGTCAGAATTGTGGATATAAAGTCCTTTTATTTCTCCTTTTTATTCTTTATTCAGCGATGGAGACAGACTTCCATATTCTGTGGTTGGCAGTGATTAGGAACAAGAAGCAGGCAGATGCTTGGCTTTGACAGCCTGCCGTCTGATTTCTCTCTCTGATGAAGTTTATTTCTCCGCACGCAGCTGTGGATCCAGACAGGTGGACTCCGATGTTTCCACACATATGGGCCGCTTGAGCACTAAACGACAGGTATTAGTTATAAACGCCGTGATGTTTTGTGCATATGCTGGCCTGATGAAGCGGCTCCATCACGAACAGAAAGAGAGAGCATAGTTTAACAGATGGAGACTGGAAGAGAGCTGTCATGCTGGAGCAGCGTGGGAGAGACAACGAGACGCATTGTGTGGAGCTGCACGCTCATTCTCCGTGTTTCTCGTTCTGCTCGCCTTTTGAAGACGGATGATCAGGAGCAATTCAGAGAGGTTTTTCTCCTGCAGGTGCATGCGGCTTTGATGTGAAATCAACGATTATCTAAAGCATTCTGATGCTCAGACGAACTGGACGCCCCTGAAATCAGTGTTGGGGGTAACGCATTACTTTTAAATTTACAAGAAAATATCGGAGTTACTTTTTCAAATAAGTAACGCCAGTTACTTTGTTTCCCATTTATTGACTGACAGCTCTGGTGTTGCCATGGTGACAGAAATCAGGAGTACAGAGGCGTTGTGTGCGCTGTGTGAACATGATGTTACTGTAGTTCTAGACTAAATGTGAATGTGCATTAATTCATCCCACTCACAAAAAACAGATTTAGTATTCATCAAAATGAATTAAAACAGTGAAATGCAAACTCAGAATATGATGCAAACCTGCAATAATTAAATATGTTAAATAACACAAATGTATCGAATCCCATTTTATTAACTAATGTCTTTGCTGCTGACCTTTGATGATCCAGTTCAACCATACTAATAAGCAAAAATGACTTTAGATAAACTAACAATTGTGCTTCATTGTTTTTTTTATTGCTGAAGAGTGTTTCTTCTCCTGCGTTCTACTGTACAGACGTGAATTTACTTTTGCTTCAGCCTGAGGTTTATTCATTACACTTTTAGGTGTGAAAGGGCTTTTATATTAGCTATAAACAGAACTTCTTATATTAAAAACAATCAAGCCCTGCTCATATTTAAAAAGTAACGCGAAAGTAACGCAAGAGTAACGTAACATTACTTTCCGTAAAAAAGTAACTAAGTAACGTAATTAGTTACTTTTTTATGGAGTAACGCAACATTGTAACGCATTACTTTTAAAAGTAACTTTCCCCAACACTGCCTGAAATCGTTATCAGAATGATTTTTTACTGAATTTACATTCATGCATTTGGCAGATGCTTTTATCCGAAGTGACTAACAACGAATTCAAAGTTTTTTATGCTTTATCAGTTCATGCATTGCCAATGCCACACTCTACTGTTTGAGTTACAGGAACTACAGTTACAGACAGAAACACCTGTGAATGTTTTTGCTGAGGTTAAAGCCTTAAAATAGAGTTAATAAATTAATAAATAAGGACAGAAACAAATAATGATGGATATTATTGAATGTACTGCAAATACAGTTAACAGACTTAATATTGCATTTTTGTCACACCATGGATATGGTTTATAAAATAAATAAGTAATAATAAAAATATAAATAGTTGGAGGCTATCCGAACTTTACGTTATTTGTGATGATTTTTAAGTACATTCATTTCAATATTTCTTAAGTTTAATCTTAAGAAAAAAGAAGAGAAAATTCTTCAGTAGTATTTGTTGAATACAAAATATATTTAACTTTTACCTTTTTCTTAAAGTTGAAAATAAGAAGACAATGTCTATCCATTTAGATAAAAACATAAACTAATAAAGTTAAGGTGATGCATATTGGTCAGTCATACATAAACAGTTTATCATCAACTATTTGCATCCATTTCATTTTAAGCGATTTGAATAAATGCATTTTGAAAATGATTATTTACAGTCGGCATAAATCCGTTACAATTATGAAGATTGTTAAATATTCACTATTAGCAATATTCAGTTAGTTAAAGCATATGAGATTGGAACAAATTGTATTTATTGATGATAAATATATAAACCTGGTTATTGTGTATTTAAAACACGTTCAGTTTTTTAGTACTATTACAGAAATCTGACCCGTTTCATTTATGAGAGACTGACAAATATGAATCGCATGAAGTTTGTTAAAACTGTGTAATCCAAATAAATGGACATTTTATATGCATTTCAGCTACATAAATCCTAAACTTTTTACAGTGTTTTTTTTTTTTTTCCCTGTAAACCATTTGCAGAGAATGCGTCAAATTTCAAATCAATATTTTACAAGCCGCTCTGTTATTGTAACAATCTATAACAACATATAAAAACACACCCCTAAATGAAACGCACACCAAACGAGTGCTTTTCTGATGTGTGAACATATAGACGGTTTGGTCGGAAACGGAGGTGACTGAGACGAGAGATCAAGTTTAATCGATAAAAATCAGATCATTCTCCACGTCTTCATATAACACTCAAAAATGAGGTCTGTACTACTGAGAACACACACGTTATCATAAAGCATTAACCTCACACACGCCACACGCCTGATCACATGTACAGGATGCACACGGGAAGGACAGGAAGTGATGAAGTGTTTATGGAAACAGCCTTAAAGATGACCTGACCATATAAAGAGGAACATTATTACTCATACAGGCTTTCTGTCCTTCGATTACACAAATCTCAGTTCCTGTGACGTCTGACAATATGTGAGATTACTGGAATGATCTCGTTTCAGGTCGAGCTGCCACATTAAAGCGATTAAGAGAGTTTAACAGTGTTTACAGGCGTCGTGTTGTGTGTTTTTCATTCATTTTTTCCCCTGAGGTCACTAATGCAAACAGAACAGATGTCAGTTTTCGGTGTTTCTCAGTAACTGCATTGATCCTACTTAAGGCAATAGTTCACCACACAATGAACGTGCTGAAAATGATGAGTTTGTTTCTTCGTCAGGTTTGTAGAAATGTAGCATTGCATCAGTGTCTCAGTGCTACATTTCTACAAACCTGATGCAGAAACAACCTCATCCTGATCTCAGATAAGCACATTTTCAGCATTTTTGGGTGAACTATTCCTTGAAGTTGCACATATGTAAAAATGAAGATAAAAGAAATAATGTAAAGAACTGCATGAAAAACAAAACCCATCATCATCATGCACATGCAGAAGACACGAGAGAATCGGAGGAAGCACAGGATAGTCACCAGAGGTTTACTAAAAACACATGTTCGATCTCCTGAAGGATCTCAAGCTCTCTAAAGACGTTCCGGACCTCGTCCCGCTCGATGCACTGCTGCTTGTTCATGTACTTCATGGCGTACATCTTCTCCGTGTCCCGCTTCTGCACGATGCACACCTGAAACACACACAGATGAACACGCTAACGAGAACATATGCATCATCACAGACCCACGTCCTATTAATAACATGCTCGCTTCGACCGGCACAAAATGTCACGGGTCAGAGGCGCTTCACGAGCACAGAATCTGCATTAAAAGCTCATTAAATGATAATCAAGAGTGTGTGTGATGTGAGACAGAGATAAAGGTCAAAACACAGTCAGGACTCGGGCAGCAGACGGGTCACATGGACTTGCTAATATCTTATACCACTGCAAATGCATATGTCAATATATAGTTATTTGATGCTCCAGCAAGAGCATCTAGAAAACGCTCTGATTCTGTCAGACGGCTGCTGTGAGAGTCCAGAGGCAACAATCAAGTCATTTAGCCGTCTAAATGAAACAAGCAAGCAAAATAATCTAGTTGAAATGGCCTTCTAAGCGTCCAGTATAAATGTTGTTTTCCTGATCTTTAGAAAAGCCTTTGAGCTCATAAGAGAACGGCAGCGTTTCACCCCACAGATCCAGACGGAAAACACTCTAAAACCTTCCCTAACTGCATCCGCTTTGATTCAGCAGACACCTCCAATACAAACCTGCCAGCGGGCAACGATAACTCAGACAAACAGCCCAAATATCACCCTCCCAGATGAGACTGATAGCAGCATCCCCGACTGAGATCTAATCATCCGTTCCACAAAAACATAAGCACATTAACCAGCAGAAACCAGAAAAACAAGACCTTATTTCTGTCTTTACAACATTCTGTGAAAATGTGCTCATCTTCAGGTCATCTGAGATTAGGGTGAGTTTGTTTCTTTATCAGGTTTGTAGAAATGTAGCACTGCATCAGTGTCTCAGCAATGGATGCTCTGCAGTGAATGGGTGCCGTCAGAATGAGAGTCCAAACAGCTGATAAAAACATCACAATAATCCACAAGTAATCCACAGCACTCCAGTCCATCAGTTAACATCTGGAGAAGACAAAAGCATTTACGTTTAGAGCGGTTTAAAAGCTGCTTGATCTGTGCAGATTTCTCTCCTGATTCACACCAGAACACTTTTTCACTGGAGGAAGCGTTATTATGGATTATAGACTCGTATTTTAGTTAAAAAGGTCTTAATGCTGGATTAGTTTCAGCTTTTGTCTTCTCCAGATGTTAACTGATGGACTGGAGTGCTGTGGATTATTGTGATGTTTTTATCAGCTGTTTGGACTCTCATTCTGACTGAGGATGAGGATATTATAATTTTTGGCTGAACTATTGCTTGAACTCTCATTGTAAATATATGAGATCTGGTCTCTTTGTCACAACACGGAGTTCTTTAAGAGACTCTAAGGACAATCTAATTAACTTCACATTTATCTCCTCCAAGCGAGAGCATTAAACTCCTGCAGTGGTTAAATATTCATAATGAACTCCTGTGATTGTGCTTGAACACACATTAGACGGTGTGGTAAAGGTCAGCCATGGGCTGTGCTGAAAGAGCGCTTCCAGCTGTTCTGAGCTGATATTTCAGTCACTGCTCTGGGAAACATCATAACAGTGCTGGCTGTCATCCCACCTGCTCACTTCGGTCAAAGGCTGTCGAGCGAGCGGATCGAGCCGTCGAGGCCTAACCGAGCTCTGACTGAGTCACGCTGAAGCTGTGAGATAAAGCGGCACGCCAGGGAAAGAGCCGTATAAACCCGGCCCACCGGAGAACATTTCCACTCCACAGATCATTTCACGCTTATCATCATCTGTTTACATGTTTAGAGAATCCCTGAGCAGATTCTTACGAGCGAGGAGCGTCCTGATGAGAAACAGCGTGTGAAATCCTGCTGACCAGAGGAGCGTTATTATCATCAACGAAAACTAAAACCATAAAAACACATTTGCATACTTAAAATGCATACTTAAAATATGCATCAACTGAAATAAGATGCAAAACTGAAAAAAGAATGACAACTATATAGACATTTAAAATAAAACTAAAATTAAAATAACAATTACAAAATTTTATTTAAAAAAATGTAAAAACACTTATTAAAATAAAACGTATTTTATTTCAGCTAGCTGTCTAGGCAACATTTCTCATTTTTATTTATGTTAACTTGATGTACTAACAAACTAAAATTTAGAAAAACTATATAAACATATTTTAAAAATAATAATAAAAATGACAAAAACACAACAAAATTACTAAAAGGTTAACTAAATTTAAAACCTTATTTTTTTTATTCAGAAACAAAATAAAAGGCAAAAAACCGTATTTTATTTCAGCTAGTTGAGGCAAAATTTCTCATTTTTATTTAGCTTAAGTTGAAGTACTAAAATAACTCAAATGAAATAAACTAAAATTAAAACTATAAAAGCATTTTAACTACTTGAAATGAACATCAACTGAAATAAAATAAATATAAAAAAATTAATTAATTTAATTTCAGCTAGTTGCCAAGGCAACAATTCAAATTTTCAATTAGTATAAGTACTTAAATAACTAAAAAAAAAAAAAAAAAAAACTTGATAAAAACTATAGACATTAAAAAATATAAAAATGACAAACAACAAAATTACTAAAACTAACTAAAATTAAAATGAAAAAAATCAACATTTTAACAAAAGCTATATTAAAACATTAACATAATTTGGAATTATTGTAATTAATATTACGCATTTTAGATTTTGAAAGTTATTATTGACATCACAAAATGAACAGCATTTGGACTCATGTACAAGTCCAGAGATAGAGCTGTTAAAGAGCTCGTGACATGGATTTATTATTATTTTAATATGTTCCTTGAATACATTCGCAAAACCTATTATTGTTAACCCTCATTCTGTCAGTAAATGTTCACAATTTCAACAAAATAATAGCATTTAATAAATGTTAAATAAAAGCTCGTTTTGTACTGAGGAGGTCGTTTTAAGATTCAAAACTTGAAGGATGTTTAAATGGTACAAAGGGCTCTTATATGCCAGACTTTAACAACTTTAAATTAGATTTTATGTCAAAAATTCAACATCTTAGTCATTATGTTGTTCAAGAAGCAATTATAAATTCACTTCCATTCAGCGAAATACCGAACTTCCTCCATTAAACGCTGTATTTGACTTTATTATGACAAATAAGATCAAATGTGATGCTTGCGAATGCATGAAGCACATGAAGCTGCTCTTCAGAGAAGAGTTGTGATGCTTTGTTATGAAATCTGCAGAGAAAGAGATGAGAAAAGACAGAAGCACAAAGCATCTTCTCTGTCTCTCTCTCACTTCAAGTCAGCGTTTATGGATTGAAAAGCTACGTTTCATAAGACGAGATGATATTCAGTCGGCACAAACGCTGAGCTGAAATGACACCTTATTAAACGAATCACCGCAGCCTCGGCCAAAATCATTCAATTAAATGTGATCTGCTTCCTTTCGTTTCGGATGACAGCAGTAAGTGCAGTTACTATGGTACTTTGGTGGAGACTATGGTTACCATGGTTACCATTTTTTGTCAGAATCCTAATGAGGAAAAGCGACTTCTCTTTCTCAGACGCCGGTGTCGGTCCTTATAAAGCAACATTTAATCAGCAGCTGAATATCTCCTCAGCACCGTTACTAGAACTGAAGCTGCAACATGTGCATGATGGCTGTGATTCAGGTACGACTTGAACCCGCAAGAGATACATGAAAATGTCTAAAATATGCATCATTTTTAGTAAGGGAATGAAACTTTGCAAATGCTTTGAGACCCTCAAAATACACATAATTTTTTCCCAAATTTTTCCCAATTATGTTTTAAGAGATTAAAGAGGTTTTGTGTTCGGGTCATTTTTGACCCGGATATGTATGGAGTCCAATAGGTGTCAAAAACGGTTTTGTAAAATTATCTATAAAGTCATAATAGTGTCAAAAAAAATTATAAAATATATTTAGCCTTTTCTCCTTATCTCACACACTGAATTTTGTTGATAAACAAATATGTACGTCTATTGACGAACCGTTGAAAGTGAGCTGAAAGTGGAAGTTCATGCAAGTAAAAATTTATTTTATCTGAAAACTTTTCAGAGTAATATTTGTGGTTTTTGTTAGACATAAAGATGTAGGTTTCATAAATTTGGACTGTTTTTGAGCAATCATGAGTTTAAAATTCAAAGGAATTTAATTAAATTCCATTCATTCCAATGGAGTAAACACTGATAATTCTCAGATTATATGATGTTATAAATTTTAGACAATGATTTATTAAAATCAAAATTCTCATCAATACTGAAGAAAATATATAGATATTTTGCATCATAGGTTTTTTTGTGTAGTTCATGTGTAATTTGAAATTTAAAAGAATTTCTCTTTTTTTAATAATAAAAAATGCAGTAATAAAATAAAAACAATCACATTCCCTCATTAATGAGAAGTTGCTGATCAGATACAATATGATTTTAGTTGAAAAGTATGAAGTTATGACTGTTTTATAAAATAACGATTCTTCGGAATGCATTATGATTGTTAACTGAGCGTCTCAGTTTGCCGTGAGGTCGCGTCGGCAGTAACGCAGCATTATGCGCTCATAAAGCGTGTCAGGTATGAGGCGCAGGGTTTTATGTAAGGTTACAGAATGCGTCGGTCGCGTTTTTAAAGCTTCTTCTATTCCCACGACTCTGATATATTTAGCTGCTCGATCCATTGTTGTCACCATGCACAAGTGTGTGCTGTTCAATCTACAGGAGACTCCAATCAAAAGCGTTTGCTTTCTGGGTCACAGAACTGCTGAGTGGAGCAAGACGGCTTCAAGCTGAAGAGAAACAGATCTGAGAGCAGAGAGCCGGTCCGTCTGGCCACTATTCCAGTCTCACGCTCTTAAAATAACGCAGCTTTACTGGCATCCGTGCTTCCAAGAGGAACCTTTACCATCCAGAAGCACTAAAGGTTCTTCAAATCCCAGAGAGGATTTTCTATTTCCTGAAAAAATGCTACTTAATTCTATTGCATCGGACTAAAACGTACTGACTTCGCTCACATAGGGTTAATTAAAAAAACACTCAA